AGACCCACCCATTTCTGATTTCCAGAGCAGTCCCCGCTCCCTGCCTGAAGGTGCGGAGGAGAGCAGTCAGGCCCACGTGGATGGGGGGCTGGGGGACTGGCTGGCCTTCAGCGCTCCAGGGGCCGTTACTCCTTCCATCGAGGCCCACCTGTAGTTGGTGTAGCACCATCAGCAATTAGTGATGGTTCATTAGAGTCCAATTAATAAATGAAACCCAGGATGAGAGCCATTGCTTTGCTAAGAATAATAGCCCTGCTCATTCCTGAAGTGGCAGCCTCCCAAGAGCTCAGAACCCACAAGAACCAGCTGCACTGCGGCTGGGGGCGGGGCACACTTGGGGTGGGGGGCACTGATGTTGATGGGCTGTGGCGCAGTAAAGTGGGAGGAGAGAGGGGAGCTTCAGACCCGACATCCTTACCTGGGATCTTAGCTCCGCTTTTGTGGAGCCCTGACTGCATCTTCTGGCCCAGCAATCCCAGGGGAGCTTGGCCAAGGTCAGAGGTATGAGGGCAGGGCTTTGCCCTCCTTCCTGTCTGGCCTCAGAGGACATGGGTGTGGAGAGAAGAGAGCTGGAGAAGGAGCGAGGTCAGGGAGGACCACAAGCCTCATTCTTCTGACTACCCATGCTCCCAGCACACTGACCCTGGATCAGCCAGCCATGCCCTCACCACACCTGCCCATGAGACTCTTCTTGCCCCTGTAAGCCCCAGGCTCCATCCTCCAAGTGGGAAGGTCCTCCTCTCCATCTATTCAAGCCCTGCATCCTCCAGAAAACCTTGCCTCCCCAGCCCAGCCCAGGCAGGGTCAAAATCCAAAGAATCCAGCCTTTGACCACCCCATTTGGGTGACCATCTCTGCAGGGGCCAATTCTCCCCTCCTACCCCTGTTGCATAAGGCTGGGCTTCTGGGCATGAGACACATCATTGGGTTTTTCTGTGCCTTCCTGGGATGGAAGTAGGCCTGTGCCAGGGAGTCTGGCTGCCTCTTCAACTTCAGAAGGTTGGGGAGGCTGGACTTCCTGGCTCAGAGGCCGGCATGGAGGGTGCAGGTAGAGGGGAATTGCCCTGCCTTCTCAGGACAGAATGGGGCCCAATCATGACACACCTGGCACCTGGCCTAGAGGAACCTACCTCTAAGTTTCCCAGGTGAGCAAGCAACAGGACTGTGCAGGACCAGATCAAAAGATTGCAAGAACCCTTGTTGTACTATCCATCCACCTGAAGGTTCTGCCCTTTGTCCATTCTTATTCTGCCTGACCATCTCCTTCCTTGGGGCTTCTGGGAACATCTCTCTGGCCTTTCAGGATTCAGGGTCCTGCCGAGCCAGGACCCCAGCAGCCCGAACAGACTCAAATTGGGATCCTCCCCTTCCCCTTGATCTCCTAGGGGCTTCCCTGGGAGCAACACTCAGGACAAGCCAGGTGGTCTGCATCCTGGGCTTCCAAAGCCCTGCACTGGAGGAGGCCAGACCTTGACAGTTGTTCATGCTCTGATACCTTGAGGAGCGTGGGAGACCAAGCGGACAGGCGGGGCAAGTGCAGGGGGGCAGCTTAGAGGCCTGGGAGGTGGGAGATGGGGTATAGTGTGGCACACAAACCTCCCCAGGGAAGCCCGTGTGTCTGTGTATGCATGTGCCCATGCATGCACACACAAGCTTGTGCGCTTGCGCTGAGGGAGGGGAAGCAGAGAAGAGGCCGGTCAGGGGAGGCAGGGACAATGGCACACACAGGTCCCACCCCTAGAGGTGTGTGCTCTAAAGGGCATTTCAAAGGCTGGGTGGCAGGTGGGGGAGCAGCTCAGGAGCTTGCACTCCCCCTCCCCATCAGTGCCCCTTGCTACCCACCCCACTGCTCACCTCCCTGGCAGCTGCAGCCCCTGGGGACCAGACCATGCATCTCCCTTAGTTAGAGCCTCGGAGAAGGAAAGCAAAATCCATCTTCTTCCTTCCCACTCACAGATGTGCTTAGGCCTCACCCCTAGCCTCTGCTTGGGTGGGAGCCCCGGAGCCTCCTGGCTCATTTGCCAACATCCACGCATCCTTCTAGGGTGCTGGGGGGTGGGGGTGGGGGCTGGCAGAGAGGGATTTCCTTTTCCTGGCAGCTTGAGACTCAGGATTGCTAAACTGTGCCTCTGAACCGAACCCTAGTTCCATCCTGGTGTGACTGCCCCCCCATGGCTGGATGAAGTCTGAGCCCCGGGACAGCAGGCAGCACCCAGGGCCTGTGGGCTAGAACTAGGCCATGGCTTTAGGGACCAGAGGGAAGATCCCGCTCTTGCAGCTGGGCCGTGTGCGGGCAGGTCCTGAAGAGGCTCCCTGGCTCCAAAACTGCACTGGGAGACCCGAGCCCCATCAGGGCACTTGGGGTCTCGGGGACTAGGAGCAAGGAGTGAGCTGGTCCCCTTCAGCCCTCTAGATCTCCAGTTTCTAGAATAGCATCAAGGCCTGAAGGAGTCAGCTGTGCCAGGAAAAGCCATTATCCTGACAGCCTCCCTCCACCTGCTAAAAGCCTCCCTCCTTCCCCGGGGGGCCTCACCCCTCCTGAGTTATTCAGCCTCCACTCACCTAGCCCTGACGGACCTCTTTGGCGTGTGTTGAGGGAAGGGAGGGAAGGGAGGTTTGCTTAACCACTTCTACGCCTGAGCGGAGTCAGCACCTGCAGGCTCCCTTGGCCTTGTCCCTTGCCCGTCCCCATCTCTTTCTACCTGGAGTGCCTCCCACCAGGAGCTTGTGAGGCCACCTCTCAGGAGGGTGGAAGACAGGCTGGCAAGAAGAGGCCATGGGTTCCAGCCTGAGGTCTGTCACTGCACTGCGTGTGACTCAGGTCCCCCGGCTCAGGTCTCCTCTCTGGGTGCCGGCAAGCCCCCAGGGACACACAGCACCACGTGCACTGCAGGGGCAGGTTGGGTGTTTGCGGTGTAGAGGACTGACTTCGTCCTGACACAGAGTGCAAGGCACAGGGTGGCAGGAGGAGGGGCTCCCATTGCACCCCTGAGTTAGCAGAGGTCACCAAGTCAGAAGGAAGAGGGTTCCAATACCTCCCAGCCTCAAGGCCTTCACCTCTCCAGCCCAGCAGCCTCCCACACACCCCTGAGCCAGCGGGGCCCCCTTTGTAGGTGTGGGGAGGCGATGTGTCTGGGAGGCACGGCCCTCTGCATCTCAGCCCTCCTTCAGCTCTCCCCGGTCCCTGCCGGGCTGCCCTGGGTCAGCCACCTTTGAGAAACACCCAGCTTGTTTCACAAAGGAGGGAATAACGCGAACTGGGGCCCTCTGAGTGCTGGGAGCTTAACTTGCTTTCTTCCTGGTCCTTATAACCGCCCTGGGAGGGAGGGTCCACCTACAGAGCAGGACACTGAGGCTCAGAGAGGGCAGGTGGCCTGGTTAAGAGGTTACAGTGGGCTCAGACCCAGTTGTGTGTCGCTCTGAAGCCAGTACTCTCTCCAGGACCCCACACCTTGGTCACAGCAGCCAGAGACCCCCAGTTGTAGACCCAGAGTTGGAGTCAAGATGGGGGGACACCAGGCCAAGGACAATTAAAATTATTATGATTATTACTATTCACACCGTCGTGGTGCTTAACAATATGTCAAGTGCTTTACACATATGAATTCATCTCATGCCCACAACGGCCCTGCATTATCAACCCCCTTTCACAGATGAAGGAAGTAGAGCACAGCAAGATTATGTACTTTGCCAAAGTCACGCAGCTACTAAGGGGCAGAGCTAGGATTTGGAACTCCAGGGACCTTGCGGTCATCATTGTGCCACACTGCCTCTCAGCCGAAGCAGAGGGGAGTTTTCAGTTGACCGCCGGAGCTTAGAGACAGGACTCTCACAAGAATGGTTGTCCACGGGAGTCCTACAGACAACTGGGGAGCAAAGATCCAGGCTGCTATGTCACTCAGGTCCAGAGGACAGAGTGAGGACCTGGGGGGTGAGGGGGAGCCAGAAGCCTTCCTGGAGGACAGTAGGATGAGCTGAGAAGGCCATGGGCTGGTTTAGCTACCATGTGGGGCACATTGGCTCGGAGCTTCTGGGCCAACTCGCCTGCCCCACACTCCTTTTGGGGGCCTCCGGGGGTGGTTCCAAGGCTGGTGAGGACACCATCTGTGCTTCTGCTTGAGGAACCATCGGCGGCACCTCCCCCTCCCGAGTACGTGGTGCAGCTCCCCTGCTCCAGGCTCTGGGATGATTCCTCACCCATGATTGCTGCAGTTAATGTAGCGGTGCCATTTACAGCCCCAACATAATAACCTCCTCAACAGAAGAAGTATTAACTCTCTCGCTGAACTGTTTGATGGCTCGGCAGCTCAGGGACACTTAACTCAGATACCTGTGGGATGCACTGGGTTGCAGAGGGCCCAGGCTCCAGCCTCACCTTGGACACCCTGGCCCTGCACAACCCCTCACCACCCCCTGCCCTGTCCCATGCCTGGCTCCCAGTGTCCAACCCATGGCCCTGCGCACAGTGGGTGCTGCAGAAGGCAGGAGCCTGAGTGTGCTCCATTGTAAAGGTTCAGAGCCCGGGGAGCTGGGCTGAGCCTCAGGAATCTGGGCCAGCAGCTTAGGGAAATGAAGGTCAAAGGAGAAGCTAGCCAGGCAGGCACCACACAGCCCCGGGACTGAGAGAGAAGAGAGTCAGGATGGGGAGTCTGTGCACACAGGCGCCTGCTGGGGAGCCCGGCCCAGGCAGGGGGCAGGAAGTCAGACAGGCAAGGCGTCTATCCCTGCTCCCATCCCCAGCCCTGGCCTCTGGTGCCTGAGTCCATGTGAAGGCCTCAGCAGTGGTCAGCAAGACAGTGTGGTCACCCGGGCAGTCAGAGCAGCTGAGGAGAGAGGCCCAGCGTCCCCTGGGCCTAGGATGACAGGAGTGTGTCGGCCTGGGAGGGAGCTCGTTATGCTCCGTCCACCCTTTACTCAGATTTATGGACAGCGTGTCCAGGAGGGCTGAGCAGCGGACTGGACACCCTTCCTCTGACTCAGCCTGCTCCTCCCCTCCCCAGGAAAACCACATCTGAGGACACGAAGAACCAGAATGCTAAGGCAGTCACATCTGTAACCTCGGAGCCCACCAAAGCCCCCATCTGGGGGGACACGGTCAAAGTGGAGCTCCAGGCTGAGGATGCGGGGCGAGAAGGTGAGGCAGGGGCAAAGGGGGCTGGTGTGCAGGGGAGGGGTGTGAGGCAGAAGCAGCCTCCCTCTCAACTCAGCTGGAAGCCACCTGAACACCTCTTTGGGCTCAGTTAAAAGCACTTTAAAGAAAAAAAATCATAACACTGTCATGCCTCATCTCCTTGGTCTGCTCGAAAAATGAGTTGTTCCACATAAATGAATTTTCCAGAGAAGGAAAGCTTATCTTTTTATGGCCACTGTTATCATTTTCATGGTTGTTATTACTACCTCCTCCCACTGAAACAGCACATTGCAGCTTCCTGGCACATCCTCACACATCGCTCATCAGAGTCACACCTCCTGCGAGAAGCCATGCTGCTCCCATTGCTTAGATGGGAACACTGAGATTCGGGGAACTTAAATAACTGGCTCAAGCTCATGCAGTCAGTAAGTGGAGGACCTAGGATCAGCATACCTGCTCTCACTGCAGCTCCAGGGTTCTAACTGCTTCCCTAGAACGGCTCCTTATCCTGCCCTGGCTCCCTGATACTGCCCACAGTCAGATAGCAGTGTTCCTGAGGGCCACGGAGCACTTTTGTAGAAACTGCCTCCTAGTTCTTGTTCCTCCACCCCCGGAAGCCTTTCCAGTCCCTATGTTTCAGCAAATTCTAGCACTGTAAGTAATTTAACTTTTTCAAGGCAGGGCTCATCCCGAAATCTCCAGGTACAGGTGTGCATACATATGCGTGTGCGCTCGTGGTTTCTGCTCTTGGGCGAGCTCAGGCTGGGCACACAGGAGTATTGACTGGCAGGTGCCAGGACAGCTGTGGGCACTGGCATCAGGCTTAGTCAGCACAGACCCACAGGTGCCCACGATATCTCTGCTCTTATCAAGTCAGAAGAACCTCAGGCTCCCGTCTTGCAGGTGGTCCTTCCCTCCGAGGACCGGCTTGGCTTCTCCCCTTGAAATCTCACTAGGGACTTAGAACTCCTGTCTGCCTCACAAAGAACAGAAAGCCAGCTGCTAAGGACAGGGGAAGGGAAGAGAAGCAAAGCACAAGGAGACACATCAATAAAAGGGCAAGAAGCTAGTTCTGGGTCAAGCCAAAGGATATTTTTCTGCCTATAAAGGGATAGGTGGAGCTGCTGGGGTGAATTAAGAATATGTGGAAGAGGAGGGAAAATTGACCTAGGATTTCATGCACATGTATTTTGTTTGTGAATGCCTGCCTGCTGGTCCACGTGTATGTGGGAAAGTAGTGTGTGTGAGTACGAGCTTGTGACTGCCATAGGCTTGCGTGCGTGTGTGTGTGCGTGTGTGTGTGTGTGTGTGTGTGCTGCAACAATGTGTTGTGTGTGTGCCTAGATTTATCTGGGAGGTGGCGTGTGCCTGGCAGTACGCGTGTGTATAGTGTGTGTACGTATATGGGCGTGTGTGCATGCATCTATGTGGCTGACAGGAAGTTAGGGGTTGTGGTGAGTGGACCTGGGATCCCATCCCACCTTGAGCTCTGCACATTCGGAGTGACTATAGGAAAGGACATGATGATTCAGTGGCCTTGGGGCCCATCTGTGCAGCAGAGAGGGGATAAGACTCACTGCAGAAAGAACAAGAGGGTAGGGAAGGCCTCCTGGATAGGCAGGGAATATTGGCAGTCTCCTCTTTGCAGATTGAAGTAGCTGGATGCTGGTTGGAACCTGGTTGGAACCGGTTGCTGTGGTGATGTCTGTGGTGGGGGTGGGGGAGATGGGGGCCAAGCCAAGAGGTGGCGGGGAGGGGAGGAGGTAGCTCAAGGAGGTGTTAATGAAAAGCAAAGGGGAGTTGCAGACCCGTGTCAGGGCTAAAGCAGGGGGGTGGCAGAAATGGCTTGTTGGCCACACAAAGGGAGCCGTGGGAGGCCGGAGGGGCACAATGCCCAGAGAAGAAGCTGATGAAGCGTGTTTGTAGCATGGAGACAGGAACAGGGAAGGATGGCTGTCCATTCCGCCCAGTTACAGCTCATCTGCCGGCTGCCCACACAGAGCTCCAAAGATGGGGGTAGGGGGTAAAAATGCAAGACATTCACCCTTCTTTCAGCCTCAGCAAATTCCAACCAGATTTGGGGACTTAGGGCCCATAGATAGTGGCCATGAGGGGCTACAGCTTCCACAACTACTGTTGAAGCTTTGGCTGGGAGCACTGGAATCCTCCAGCTGAGTTTTTTCAGTTCTGCTCAGGGCTGGGTGAGTATACGGAGCACTACAGATGGTTAATGAGGAGGAAAATAGTGACAACTACAAGGAGCATTTGCTTAGAATTTCATAACTTGAAAAACACATTTCCCTCCCCGCAACAATAGTAGGAGAGGGACAAGGTTTTTCCTTTTTAAAATATTAACATTTTGCAGAGCAGGGACATGAAGCTCAGAGAGGTTAAGTGACTGACCAAAGATCACAGAGCAAGTTGGTGTGTTAGTACTAGAACCCAGGTCTGCTCACTTCAAATCCTTTGTCTTACTCTACTTCTTTCAAGACAACCTGGAGTCTTTTGGGTACCCACTTCCTTTTCTTTCCTTTTAGCACAGATCCCATATGGCCAGCTCTTGAGGGACTTTGGCAAGTGTCTTTCCCTCTATGTATCCAGAGTAGCTGTGGGGAAGAGGAAGAACGGAAGAGTAATTAGCAAAGGCTCCTCCTCCTCTTCCTCCTCCACACACTCATCCAAATGACCCACCCAGGGGCACCTGGGTGGCTCGGTCTGTTAAGTGACTGCCTTCAGCTAGGGTCATGATCTCAGGGTCCTGGGATCTAGCCCCACATTGGGCTCCCTGCTCAGTGGGGGTGCCTGCTACTCTCTCTCTCTCTGCTTGTGCTCTCTCTCTCTCAACTGAATAAATAAAATCTTTTAAAAAATGCAAATGACCCACCCAACTCCAAGTGACTGAGCCACGTGGGGCTCCCAGCCTGCCGAACCGACCTGCCGGCAGCTGTCCGTGGTGCTGATGTGTCCTTGTCTCAAGTAGACTGGGTCTATTCCAGTCTCTATCAGGTACACCTGTCCTTCCCATCCTCCCTTTCCCGTTTTTTTTCTAAATCTTTTAGAGCCTTCCTTCCTCCATCTCTCTTATTCTCTCTCCCCCTCCTCCCTCCTTCTTTTCCCCCTTCCCCATCTCCTCTCCTCCCTCAAACCACAGACTTCCAGAGTGGAGAGATGCCTCCAGGATCACAAGCTCAGCCTCTCCCATCAGCCATTTACTATCTCTGTGATGGTGATCAAGTTATTTAACCACTCTCAGCTCCACTAATCACATTTTAAAAACAGAGATGGTGATTCCTACTTGAGGGTTTGTGGTGGGGATTTGTTGGAATAGTGACTCAGGAGCAACCATCCCTGTATCTGGCACACAGCATGTGCTCACTAAGCAGGATTGCCATGATTATTTCCAGGTCATTGGCATTCTCCCCAGAGTTCATCCTGAAGTTCATGCATTTAATGACAAAATGTAGTCTCTTTGGAGGAAGTTTTCTTTTTTTCTTTTTTAAAGATTTTATTTATTTGACAGAGAGAGACAGTGAGAGAGGGAACACAAGCAGGGGGAGTGGGAGAGAGAGAAGCAGGCTTCCTGCTGAGCAGGGAGCCCAATGTGGGGCTCGATCCCAGGACCCCGGGATCATGACCTGAGCTGAAGGCAGACGCCTAACGACTGAACCACCCAGGCACCCCATGGAGGGAGTTTTCTAAGTGTTGCATTGTTTATAGTGTTAGTCTAGTTTTCATTTCCTTGGAGTAAACTTTTGTTGATATTTGTATTGCAAGTTTTCTTGAGCAGATCCTGTTTCCTTACTGAGACTCAGTTTCCCCATTTGCAACATGTGGGAGGTAAGCCCTCCCTTCCCTGCCTGAAGAGCTGGTGAGAGTGTCTGTGACTAAGAGAAGCGGCTCCTAGGAAGGGGTATTATTCCTGCTTGTGTGTGTGTCTCTGTGCCAGCATATGTGTGTCTCTTGACATGGGGGCTCCATTCTGGGTGTGTCCATCTCTGGGCTTGGAGTTTCTGGACCATAGGACAGAATTGCATCTTTGGATTCTAACAGCACCTGACATGGAGACTTGTCCTAGGCCCAGGGCTCAAACAGCGCTTGTGAATGTGTGTGAGTGTGTGTGTGTGTTTGTGTGTGTGTGTGCGTGTGTCTCACATGTGTACATGTGCATGTTAGTTCCTCAGCAGGGCCCCTGCTCCCTGCTCTGGGCAATGTCTCACCTCCCACTGGCTCACCTCACTGGGTGGGATGTTGATCAGCTAAGCCCTGTTTTGACCTTGTGCTCTTTTTTCTCTATTAAGATGTGGTCCTCAAGGTGATGGACAATAAAAAGAAAGAGGAGCTGTTATCCTACCAAATCCCTATCAAGTACCTGCGTGTCTTCCACCCCTACCACTTTGAGCTAGTGAAGGTGAGTCAGAGCCCTGAGCCCGTGAGGGCCTGCGATAGGTAAGGGGAGAGCAGGTGGGAACCACCTTGATGCCCCCAGCTATTCCCTCGGAGCTTCCCATGCTCACCTTGCAGTATGACAATTCTTGGACCATATGGGGCTCAGGAAACCCAGCTCCTGGCAGGTAGACATGAATGACTTCCATGAGAATTTGGAATTCTCCAAATTCATCTCTGTAAAAGAGCCCAATAGCATGGAACATCTACTACATTAAATAAATACGCCAAGGAAAGATATATTCTGATTTCATGTATGTTAAAAGTGGGACTGTATCTAAAAAGCAAAGAAATACAGTATTTACAGAATATCTATGTCCCAGGTCCTGGGCCAGACACCATCTCTAATCCTCAAGGTGAATTACATTTTGCATACATAGGACTGGGACCCAGAGAGAGGAATCCTCCTAACCTGGGTGACAGAGCGAATGAGTAGCAGAGTGGAGGGTGAGCCCAGGTCACCTGTCTCCCACGTCAGTTCTTTCTGTGCTGCCACACACTGCCTTGGCAGGAGGAAGGCCCAGAAGATTTGGGGCAGGTGGGAGAGAAAGTGCTCCCTGGAGTGCACCCCTCTAGTAGGCAACTGGGCAGGAGCCTGGAGTGGGGAGTCTCAGGCATCTCCGTCCATGGCCTGAACTTCCCAGGACAACTCCCCCATCGGCTCCCTCTCCCCAGTGCTGATTGGTGGAAGGGAGAACTCACTCTTTCATGGCTCAAGTACTTAGTAAGTACCTACTATGTGCTAGGCAGTGGGCTAAGATGAACAGAGCATTACTTTCCCCTCAATGTGCCCTCCAGACCCCTAATGTGGCTTGGAATAAAGAACAATGTGATGCAAGATTGCCTAGATTCCTATCCCTGGTCTGCCTCTTGCTAACTGTGTACCCATAGGAAGCTGCTTAACCCCCTAGGCCTCCACTTCTCATTGGCAAAATAGAGAGACACTGAACAAGCATTTGGACAATCAATTGCAACAATGGGCATAAAGCCCCTGGCAAAGTACCTGCCACGTAGTGGGTGCTCAGTTTGTTCCTCTCCTTTCTTCCCACCAAGCCTTGCACCGATCTTCTTTCCAAGCACCTCCTCAACCATGACCTAGGGGTCTTTACCTTCCTTAAGCACCTTCCCTAAGCCTAGATGAGGTACCTGGGGCAGGCAGAGACAGGAAGGTCCAGAGAGATGAGTGACTCACCTGGAAGGCTCAGTGCTTTAGCTGTGATTCTGCAATCATCACCCAGGCCTTCTGGCTCACTGGCCACTTACAACCCAGGCCTTGTTATCACATCTTCACAAAGAGAGCAGGCAGGCAATGGTCCTTGTGAGGGCGATGAAATATTCAAATAGAAAAGGGAAGATTTATTATATTGATCTTGGAAGGGCTCACGGGGACCATGAGCTTTAATTATCAGCTCGGAGCCCCGATGGAGCAATGCCAAGTGATTGTCTGCAGAGGGTTGGATTTATGGCCAGGGGCTTCCCCTTAGTCACTCTCCTTCTTGTGTGTCTTCTTCCTTCCCCCTGACCCAAGCCCGCCCAGTCTGGAAAAGCTGAAGAAGCCACTGCCAAGACCCAACTGTACGCGACCATCGTTCGGAAGGGCAGCTTCTTCCCCCGCTACGTCGGCAGCAACCACACAGCTCTGGAGGTGCCAGACTGGGGCCTGGGGCAGGGGTGGGGGGAGACAAGCTTTGAGCAGCCCCCAGGCCCTGCCCTTAACCACCTCCAATTGGCTTGACTTTATAAGGCAGGGAGGGGTGTCTGGGGAAGAAACCAACAGGGCCTTTCAAGAATAGCCAAAGGACTTTGTGAAGGACAAGCCCTGGGATGTCAGGGATGATGGGGATAAGGATGGAGATGAAAAGGATGCCTAACCTTTCCCAGCACTTCCAGGCACACAGTCCTACCCTAACCTGGCCATCTCTTGCTCTGCTCCACACACCATGCAGGCAGGATGGAGAAGGGGAGGCTACCAAAGCCTAAGTCTGCCTGAATCTCACGGGGGTGGCGTCCCACTTTGGCCCATAGTCCCTTCCTATTTTCTCTCATGTTCTCTCCCTCTTGCAGTAGTGACCCCTGATCTATGGCTTACAAGCCCCAAATTTTAGGGGCCCCCCCTCTTCTTTGAGTCCTATTTCTGAAGAGGTTTGGCTGGCCTTCCAATTAGGCATTCATTCATCCGTTCAACAACTGTTTACATAGACTCCTCCAGGCCTGGCCCAGCTTGGACCTAGCTTCCACACATGCCATCCCCAACCTTCTACCCCTCAGCCTTTCAGCAGCCTCAGGAGGATGGGCAGTGCTCCAGAAAGATGTCCAGGAACCTACACCCTCTCTTTCCCCCACAGCCTTCAAACTGCCCAAGGCTGACAGATTCAAATGCAGCATTGGTCTGAGTATGATGGGGGCGGAGGGAGCAGCCAGGAAGGCCCAAGCTCTGGGCTTCCCCTGCCCCAGCCGGGCCAATCTGATGTACTCCACAGCACTGTAAGCCTGGCAGGACAAGAACTGTTCTTGAGTCTCATTTCACAGCTGGCTACACTGAGACCCAAGGAGAGCCTGGGAATGGAAGTCCAGAGCTCCTGGCCCCCATCTCTGCTTCCCCACAGCCACCTTGGGTGCCAGTGTGTGTGACTTGCAGGGTCCCTCTGGTCCAATCTCCCTCCCTTTTATGTCATGCCCTTTCCTGAGACCTGCCAGCAATTCACACACACACACACACACACACACACACACACACACACACAGAAGTAGGAAAAGTGGCCACAGCTTGGCCTTGCTGTCCCCAGGCCACATCCCACAGGGAGAAGGCCACATCCTTAAGACCCAGCAGAACCCTGGCCTGCAGGTATCTCCACCGAGGATCTGCCCTACACCCACCCCAGCCCACGGACTTACCTGGTAGAGTCTCCAGCACTCCGCCCACTCCCTGGCCCCAGAACAGATGTCCCCCCTTCCAGTCCTGAGAGCAGACTGGAGAGCACAGTGTGCAGAGAAATTGCTTCTGTCACTCACCGGCTGTCATGAGCAGTGTGCCTATCTCATTCACACCTGACCATTCAGCATGGACCAGGTGTAAATTAGCCACCACCCCCCACCTCTTGGAGACCTGCTCTCAGCCCCTACACCTGTTGGCGTCCCTGTGAGCACAAGGGCCTGACAGCTCTGCAGCGGACTCCCTCAGCCCAGACTCCTGCCCCCACCCAAAGTTTGTAATACCTGCAGCAGATCCAGTCCTTTGAATCTGGGGCAGGGACTCAGTCTCCAGGGACCCCAGCAAGCACTGAAAGACCCTAAGCACTATTATTTTAAGGCCTTACTACTTCACACTTGTGTGGCACCAGCTCAGATGGGTCCTGGCAGAGGGACCCAGGAGGGAGTGCTCAGGGAGGAGGAAAGGGAGAGGAGCCAGAACAAGCCCCTACTCCCAGGCACTCTCCTCCCATTGAAGGTCAGGACTAGGAGGACTGGGGACAGTATGGACCCACCCCTCAGTGTATGAGCTGGGATCCTAAGGCCCAGGGTGGAGCGAGGACTGGCCAGGGTGACATAGTGACCCAGCTGTTGTGAGTGGCCCCTCAGCTGTGTTCACAGCCCCTTCTCTTTCTGCTTTTCTTCCCCTGTGCACCCTGTAGTTAGGACCCCCATCCACCCTCCAAGAGCAGCTCAAGCCCAGCCCCAGCCTGAGGCCACTGCCTGGCCCCTCTCCACGCCACCCCTCCCCCCCCCCCAGGCATCAGAGGTCTGTCTCTCTCTCACTCAGAAATACACTCAGCCTCTCCCTCCCCTGTCCTCCACTTTTCTCCTTCATCAGTGGAGCTCATTTCTCCCTGAAACACACACTGAGTTCCTACTCTGTGCCAGGGGCGTTTGCTAAGAGCAGTGAATGAGGTAGACATGGTCCCCGCCCCTGTGGAGCCTGGGTTCTAGTCAGACGGACAGAACATGAACAAGAAAGAAATGAGAATGAACACAGGTTATGATGAGTGGTACAGAAGAGGCAATCCAGGGGCTGAGAATGGGGCAGGCTGCTTTAGGAAGAGTGGTCACAGAAGGTCTGCCGGAGGTGGTGACATTTAAGCTCTGAAGGAAGAGAAGGAGCCAGCCACTGAGTTGCAGGGGTGGGGGTGGGGGGGGTCTAGGCAGAGGGATCAGCATGTGCAAAGACCCTGAGACAGAAACAAGTGAGCATATTGGAGGGGTGAGACAAAAGAGGCTGGAGCAAAGGAGGACTTGGGGATTGGTGGAGATGCGGGCCAAGGGCAGACAGGCCAACACATGCAGGTTTTGGCCATGGATTCACTCTAAGGGCAGTGAGAGGATGGTCCTTGCTGGTCTCAAGCTGGAGAATGACATGGTCCAATTCATTTTTACAAAAGCAGTTTTTGCCATCATGTATCAAACTGCCTGGGAAAGGGGATGGGTTGGGAGCAGAATAGAGGCCAGTGATGGGGGTCAGAGGAGTAAAAGGAGCCACAGGAATCACAGCTGGGGGAGTTAGGGTGAGGGCTGAGGGGCGAGTGGGAGCCCATTTGGTGGGTAAGGGGTGAGGGCCAGGAGCCAGATCAGGAGTTGCTTGGGATGGCAGTGGAGATATATGGGGACAGAATCTGTGTCTTCTCCCTCTGCCTTCCCATTGCCTAGCCCAGGGCCTGAAGGAGGGCAGCCTGAGCAGAGAAAGAACCAAGTGAGACAGATGGAGGCAGGGATGAGCTCATTACTGGGGAGAAAGATGGCAGGTCGGTTTGCCTTGTCCCCGAGAGGGCCCAAAGCCACCCAAGGCTCACCTGCCTCCTCTCTTCCCCAGGTCTTTCTCCGCGGAGTCAACGAGCCCCTGGTCAACAACCCAGACCCCATGGTGGTCATTGCCAGGGTGGTTCCCAACTACAATGATTTTAAGTGAGTGGGGCCCAGGTGGGTGTGGGCAGGGGGAGGGCGGGGAGGGCAGAGGACAGAGGAGGGGAAAGGTTGTCATTGCCACCACAGGCCATGATTCCAGGAGCCCTAGAAACTTGCCCTCTTCAAGGCCTTTCAAACCTCCCATTGGGTCTGAGGTCCCAGGAAGTTGCCCATGGTCCCTGGAAGGGGGCAGCTCAGAACTCTCTGGAGAGGAGGCTGCAGAGGAGCCAGCATGTGGAGGAGGACAGGAGGTCCTCAGCCCCTCCAAACCTGCCTCCCCATCCCATACCCACCACATCCACAGTTCCCCCTCCTACTCTAGTGCAGGGCCAAGGCTCCAGCCAGTGGTTGTCCCCAAAGAAGGCAGCCTGTGGGTCAGCTCAGAACTTCCCTTTAACCCTGCCCATGAGTCTCCTCCTTTACCCTCCTGAGGGTCTCCCTGGCCCCAGCTGAAGCTCATGTCCCACCTCCCCAGACAACCTTTGGGGTTGGGTGGATTTGCAGCCCTCAGGAAGGGTATTCAGGCTAGTTTGGCCACTGGAGGTCACAGCACCATCTCCTGGGGGTCAGCTGTCTGCCTCTGTCACTTCCACTGACTCTGATGGCCCAACAGGACTCCAGTACACCATCTGTTGAGTTCTGATGACCTGCGAACACTCCTTGCTTGTTGGAGGAATGAAGCTGACTGATTCACTCACTCCCAGCCCTCCTAAGAGCTCAGCACACGTGCACACGCTCACACACACACCTCCTGAATCCTGCCCTTGCAGCCTCCGTGCCCTGCCAAGCCTAAACTAGAACTGCCAGCCTGGGGGTGGGTCATTCTGGCAAGGACTTCCAAAGGCGAGGCTTTCTGAAGATGAGGGCAGCTGGTGCATTCAGATGTGGCCCGGGCCACAGCAAGTCATGGGGCAGGGAACCTGGGAGCTGCAGCCCATCTCCTGACCCAGATGAGCTTTCCCAAGGCTTGGGCCAGCGATCAGAAGGACCAGGGTCCATCCCCTGTCCTGGTGTCCAGGTCCCTGCCCCCTCCTCCTCTCTCACATCAGTCCAGAGCCCATCTGCATGGGAGCCCTTGGCTGCCAGGCTGGGGCACAGAACCAAGAGCACCTGTCACCTGCAGCACTCCTGGGCTGACCCCTGTCTCCTTGCCTCCCCAGGGTCAATCAGGTAAAGCAGGACCCGGCGTTCACAGGGCTGCCCATCACCCGACTCTCCTTCCCTATCTCATCTGTGATGCACTTCGATGTTCCTCGGGTCAGCCAGAACGGGTGCCCTCAGGTATGGTTCCTGCCCCCCCACACCCTGTCACTGGGTCATACCTCTAGTGTCTCACCCACGTGTCGATTCACTCCCTCAGTCGGCTAGTCCCTGGACTATTAAGGAGTTTACTGAACCCGGCTGTGCACCCAGAGCCAAGCCTCTCAGTGCTATGGAGGAGTGGTCCTCAGGGCGCTCTTGGTCTGGTGAAGATAGGCATTACACGCATGAAAAGGTCAAACATCAACACAAGAGAATGTGTAATCTAATAATGAAGCGGGAGGGACTGTCAGAGCTATAAAAATGAGAGGAGAGAAGACATAAAGGACAAATATGGTCTGAAGCCACTGAGATGAGGTTCCTAGAGTAAGCAAATTCATAGAGACAGAAAGGAGAATGGTGGTTGCCAGGGACTGGGGGAAGGGGACAGTAGACTGTTCTTGTTTAATAGGTACAGAGTTTCCTGTTTGGGTTGATGAGAAAGTTCCAGAAATAGACAGTGGTGATGGTTATACAACATTGTGAATTGTGCATCTAAAGGTGATAAAAATGGGACAGTTCATGTTGTATATATTTTACCATAATAAAAAAAAATTTTTTTTTTGAATTTGAGGCCAGAAAGATGTGAAGCCTGGGTGATTAGGGTGGGTATCCAGACACAAGACTCTTGAGTTTTTAAGAGGGGAGGGATGGTTCAGGGCAACAGAGCACAGGAGTGGAGATGTGATGCACAGGACATTGAATATGTTGGGGAGGGGTGTGCAGATTGTGGCCGGGTGCCAAGGAATGGCCAGATCAGTCAGTTCCCATAGTTCACAGAGCTTGCCCCACATGATGGTCCCAATATTCCTAGAGGCCTTGAAGAACACAGGGGTGCCTGGGAAGTCCTTCCTGTTGTCTGCCCACCACAGTTCATGTCTAGCACAGCAAATACAGAATGAGGCACCCATTTGGAGACCCAGCCTTCATTTAAAGGCAAGGACATTTGAAGGCTCAGACACAGACAAGAGTGATGGTGGCAGGGAGGGGTGGGACGAAGGGGGACCCTGGAGACAGAGGCTTCAAACCCAAACCAATCCTTGGCCTGATTTCCCCAGAGTCATCTCACACATGGCCCTGCATTTGCCCAGAAAATTATGAACCAATCAGCAGGCGGTCCCGAGGGGCAGGAGGCGCGGGCTGCTTTAATGAGGGAGCCCCCTCCCCATCCCCGGGCCCTCTCAGGCTGCCTTTGCTGCCTAACCAGTCTTGGTAGCAGAGGTGCCCCTAGCTACAGAGACTTGCCTCCAGTGCCTTGTGCATGTGTGGGACTCAAAGCCAGCGGTCTGGTGATGGCAGGACACTTGTTGACGTTCACTAGACAACATGGCAGTTGGGCCAGGTTGAGAACTCCCAGAAGTGAGGGACAGGGGCAGGCTTCTGTGGTACAAGGTGGGGGTGGGCAGAGCCCTACCTGGAAGGGTACCAGTCAGCAGCTTACATACTCCCCTCCTCCCTCCCCTTTCTGCGCTTCAGCCTCCTCACCTCAGTTGAGGGATGGTGGTTGGATCAGGTAATTTCTAGGACATCTGGAGTCGCTGTGATTTCCCACCAGCTGCCCACCATGCCAAAGCACTGCGGCCAGGGATTTGAGGGCCTGGCACAGCTGGGTTTGACCCCTGCTCTGTGACTTACTAGCTGCGTGACCTTTCGCAGGCTTCTCAGTTTCTCCAATTCCAGATTCCTACCTTTACTGTGCTGTTAGCACTTGAAGGACTCACTTGTGCACAGCGTCCAAGCCCAGGGTGGAGGCTCAATGGGCTCCGTCCCTTTCAGAGCTGCCCCTCCCCTAGTGTCAGATGGCCCCTGAGGCCAGCCCTCATTACTTTTGGCTACAGTAACCCCATGGACTTGAGCTCTAAGCATATTTATTGTTACACTTGGCGAGGGTTCCGCACCTAGGATGCTGCCAGAATTGGTAGATGCACCATCTCAACAGCGTCCTCAGGACCTTTCCAACACCCCTGAATTGCCATCTTCAGCTGCTTACCAGCTCGTGGAGGCAAAATGTTCGGGGCACCCCATCCAGACATGACCAGGACCCAAGAGAGAGGGAGCCTCCCCTTCTCACCTGTGGCTTTTCTGAAGGGCTGGAAACCTTCCACACGCAGCCCCTCCACAGACCTCCCTTCTCGTCTCATTGGCCAGAATTGGGTCACATGCACTTCTCTCAGCCAATCACTGAGGAGGGGTGTGGCATCACCGTGCCGTAGCTAATGTACCCAGGTGTGGAGAAGCGGGGGCCACCGGGACCAAAGCGGGTTCTGTTGGCCACGAGGGAGGGAGGGGAATGGTTGAGGGGCATTAGTGTCTGCGTCACCCCTCTGGGAGCCTGGTGATGATGGCAAACCTGGTCAGTGAAGGGAGAGTTGGGCCGTCGGGCCCGAAATCGGGTGGGACTTAGGAATTACTCCTACCCTGCCTCCCGCACCTTTGTGGGGGGCCGTTGCGCAACAAGCTGTTCCTGTTGGCCTGCCCTCCTTAGAGAACTGAGGCAGAGCTCCTGGCCGATGAAACAGAAGCAGAGGAGAAAGAAGTTGTCTGTGCCCACCGTCATCTGCCCTGTCTCAGTCCCCATGGCCAGTCGGTCCCCAGGCTCTCACGGGGCCCCTTTCCGTCCCACAGACCTTGCCCTGGTGCTGGCCTCATCTCTTGCGTGGACCACCGCGGCGGCCTCCACTCAGGCCCTTCCCATTCAGCCTGTGAGCCCTTCCCCTGAACCCCTGACCCTTTCACGGACAGGACGAAGCCCTCGCTGGCAGCCAGGTACACAAGGCCTCATCCCCCGGAGCCCCCTGGCTCACCCCCCCAACCCCGACAGGCTTTCTGCAGGCACGGCACTCTGGATGCGCAGCTCTCCTGCACACGCATGCTGTCCTCTCTGGTCTGCCAGCCTTTCTCTCTGCTGCCCTCAGCCTAGCATGCCCCCCTCCCTCAGGTCCTCCCTTCCCCCAGTCAAGAGTCATTGCTTTCTTCTCCGACATCCCAGCTCCCACAACCCACAACTTGCTTAGACCTCCACATGGATCACAGACGTGTGTGTGTGTCCTATCACCTGGGAAGATGGTGAGCTCCAGAGGGGACAGGGTCTGACTCTAGCTCCCCCATATGCCCCGCAGCACCCCTGAGGTGTAGAGCAAGGAGAAGGCCCCAGTCAGCATTGGCTGAGTTCAATTCAACTTTCATCTTGACGGCGAGGTATCCATTCTGTCCTTCAGCCCGCACGACAGCCTCCAAGGCATCCAGCATAAGACATTTCCCAGTGGACAGAGACTTCTTGGGTTCCAGAGAAGGGAAGGGACTTGCCAGAGGTCACGCAGCAAGGTTGAGGCAAACCTGGGCCCAGAGCCAAGGTGTCCTAACTCCCTCAAGGGCCCCCAACATCAGCCACCAGCAGCTACCCTTCCCAGGAGGGCAGAGCAGGCAGTGGTGGGTCTGGTGTGGATGTGGTGGGCCCAGGGGAAATGGAAGGAGGGCCCATGGGCCCATGTAATGAAAGCTCTGTCCCTAGGGAAGGCAGGTCTGCCTCAGTGGCCAGGGGTTAATGGCTTTGCTGAAGATCACAGCTGAGGGTTAATCACATTCCTTAATTCCACAGCCCGGCGTGGCCTTTCCCATTAGCCTCTATGGTCAATGGCTTCCCCGCCCCACGCCCTGTCCCCCACTCCCCCCCCACACACACATGCCACCAACACCTTCACCAGGGCCCTGGCATCAGACTCCAGAGGTGGTTTAACCTTGATTCCTTGCCCTTCCCCCCCGCCCCCCACACACAAGAGAGGCTGACCCTCTCTCCCCAGTTGTAGGTCTGAAGGGATCTCTCTTGGAGGACTCATCCTGGGAAACCATTCAGGGAAAGACCTGTCCTTCCTGAGCAGTCAGACACTATTTCTTGTTTAGTAGACTCCATTTAGACACATTAATAGGCCCCCAAGAGGACAGCTAGCATCCATTAAATAACCCCCCTTCCAGGGTGGGAGCAAGAGATGGGGCCAGCAAGGGACTGAGTCACAGGTCCTCCTTGAGTGCCTCGGGGCCTGGCAGATGGTCCAGGCTATGGGGAAGCCCCTCTGGCACTCAGTGGGGTGGCTCTGGGATGGGCATGGTTTGGGGATCAATCCTGAAAGACCATTCCCAAGGCCCATGGAACCCGGAAGCAGCTTCTCTAGCCTGGCCTGGTGGCCAAGTGGCTGTCCCTGAGCTCCCTCTGGAGCCCATTCTCAGGAACAGTCCATCACCCCAGCCCCTGTCCCTGTGCTCAGGACCCCTGGCCCCCAAAGTGACTACAGCCCATGTCCCCAGGGGCAGAGGCCGAGGCAGACACAGCTGAGCCTCGGGCGGGGCCTCAGCAAGAACCAGAGCAGGCACATTAGTGTGACAGGCATCAGAGCCCTGCCACCGCGGGGGGAGTGGACCCACACTGATATTTCGAGATCCTGCATCAATAACTCCTGGAGCCAGTGGTACATTTGTGCTGACCTTTCTGAGCAACGACTGGTTCCTGCAGGGGAGTGGGAGGTGGGAGCGGCTGCCACTGTTGCTGACAGCCCCTGGCTGGGGACAGAGGCAAGGCGGCCTCTGGGGGAGTCTGCACCGATGGCCCCAGCCCCTCCGTGTGTCGGGACCGTGCAGGGCTGCTGGCTGTGTGTTACATGCTGATGCCCTCATGTTCCATTCCCCAATCCCCACCTTCCAGCCTTTGTAGATGCTCGGCCTCCTCCACCTGCAGTCCCCCCTTGTTCCAGGCATCCTCCACCCTTGCCATGCTTGGAACCACCATCCACCTTTGTCTTGGGCGGTTTTCCCAGCCAGAAGATCTCCCTCTTTCCCTTTGCCCTGCCAAATCTTACTTCAGAGCCTTCCTCTGCTCCTGCTTCCTGCAAGACGGCTTTTGTGGCCATCCTCGGGAATGTCTCCTGTAGCCCCTTATTTGGGGGCTCTGGTCAATGCTGTCTTGTTTCACTGTTAAAATAGCACTCACATGTGTGCCCCAGCTGCTGACTTAGTGTGCTGTTAAGTCCCCCGAATGCCTGATGGCCTGTGCTTCAGACACACCAAGGCTCAGGTTTCTGAAGACCCGCTGTGGCCTCTGCATCCTGTGTGGGGCAGAGAGGGGCTGGGGACAGGGTGGAGGGCATGTCTCCTTTGGCATCAATGACACCCCCAGCCATGGGGGTGAATACTAGTGCAGCTCTTTAGGAAAACTGCTTATCCATGGTCAGTCAAGTGCCTTAAAATGTATGTCCTTTAATTCAGCATTTTCATTTCGGGTACTTAGGAAATAATCTGAGACACAGAGATCAATGTCAAAGAATATTCAATGCAGTGCTATTCCAGGAAAACACAGGAAGGGAGAAACCTGGGCACATGGACATGACAAAGTATCCTACAGCTGCAAAGATCACGGATACCAAGTGTTACTTGTGACTCCGGATATGCTTAGGTTTGCACAGTAATTGAAAAATGTAGGATGTTAGGATGACAATTATCTACAAAATAGGCTTAGGAAAAAACTAGAAAGAAACACAGTCTTAGGACAGTTGTCTTTAGTGGAGGAATTTAAGGTGTTTTGGGGGGTGTTTGTTTTTGGTTTTGTTTGAAGTAGGCTGTACACCCAGTGCAGAGCGAACTTGGGGCCTGAACTCACGACCCTGAGATCAAGACCTGAACAGAGATCAAGAACCAGACACTTAACTGACTGAGCCAGCCAGGCGCCCCTAGGGTTTTTCTTTTTAATCTTTCTACTTTTCTGTATTTTTCCAAAATTCATTCATTACACGTATGTCGCTTTTACAATTGGGACAAACATTTGCGACATATGTAGACACACACAGACGGATATATCTGGACATCCCTTGATTTGGGAGAAGCTGTGGCCCCACCGCCTACTCCCACTGTCTCCTTTCAGCTGTCCAAGCCTGGGGGACCCCCGGAGCTGCCCTTATGGAACCAATCCTTCCTCTTCCAAGGCCGAGACGGAGCCACCAGCTTCTCGGAAGACACAGCCCTGGTGCTGGAGTACCACTCCTCGGCTTCCAGTGAGTGCCCCTTGGTGCTGCACAGGGGCAGCCATGCGTCAGGACATATGTAAGAAAGGTGCTCAGGCCACCTGCCTCTGCCCCCTGCTGGGATAGGTGAAGGGGACCTGGTTCCCAGTGCATGCAGACAGGTGGAGGAGCACCTGGCTGGCTTCCTTGTCCTCGTTCCTTGGCACGGGCCAGCACACATGGGTCCTATTTCCATATTAGATCCATTCATTTTTATCGCACCACTATCCCTCCCCATGTACCTGTCAGGGAGGAGGGAGGGATAGATCCCCGCAGGGCTCACAGCATAGAGGGGAAACCGGATTCAGAGACCAGCTGATCCACGGTCTTAGATCCACATGGAGAGAGTAAAGCCCCCAAGGGCAGAGACAGAGGAGATCCATATACGTACCCAGAAGCACAGAATATGTTGAGAGTTGGTCTTGAATTCAGAGAGCCCTAAAGAGCAGAGGAGGAGGAGACTTGTGCAGGGCAAGGCCAGGGGCAGGAACGTGAGGTGTGGGAGAACTGGATGTTGGGTACCAAAGGATGGGGCCCCTGCTGGGGCCTCTAACGCTGGGACCCGAGGGGCTTGGGGTGCGGGCTTTGGTGGGAATCCCAGCTGGTCCTCCCCCTACAGTGAAAGGCAGTGAGCCATGGACCCTCAGCAAGCCCCTGGGCGTCTCCGTGTTGCCGCTAAAGAGCCGTTTGTACCGCAAGATGCTGGCAGGGAAGGGTCTGAATGGGCTGCGTGTGGAGAGGCTCCCCATCACCGTGAGTGCCCCCCTCGATCAGAGCCTGTGGCGGGTGGCCTGCTTCCGCCCCAGCCCACCCTGCTTCGCCCTGCCCCACTGACGCCAGGGACTCTGGCTTCTCCAGCAGCTTCCACCAGGGCCCTCCCCGTGGAAGCCAACCACCGTCAGGTATAAGGAGCTCCCCCGAGCTCCTGCCCCGAGGAGAAACACAGGGAGGCCCCACGGGATAGTGGCAAGAGTTCAGGCCTTTAACCAGAGAGACCTGGGTTTAAATCCTGACTTGCCCTAGTTCTCACTGTGCACTCTGGGGCAAGTTTCTTAGACTTTCTGAACCTCGGAGTGCCCATCTCTAAAATGGGAACAACATACCTGTATAGGATCTCTCTGTATGACAAGAGAGCCAAGAGCCCAGGCTCTAGAGCCTGACTGTCTGGGTCCAAATGCTGGTCCCACCCCTTCCAGATTACATGACCTTGGAAAAATTAAAGTCCCGGTGCCTCAGTTTTCTTGTCTGTTAAATGGGTTCATAGTAATAGAATTTTTCTTATAGGGTTGCTGTGAGATTTTTTTCTTTTAGGAAATACGTGTAAAGCACTTAGAACAGAATAAGTTCTCAATAAGATTTAATACATATTATATCACCATTTATTTCTATGCCACCTTTTCCCCTAAAATGCTTCTGGCCATCCTGATGTAATAGATGTCAGTAAATGGGCATTTCCCCACTCTGCCAGGACGCAGGTCTGGAAGTGCCAGTCAGGTCTTCAGTGGAGTTGAGAAGGGAGTTTCGAGGCAGTGAGGGTGAGCAGAGGCAGATCATTCTGCCTCCCTCTCACTCCCCAGGCAGAGCCCCTAGCAGGCCCCTTCTTGGGGAATCCAGAGCAGTGGGCAGATCAGAGGCAGAAGCCGCCCTGGCCAGCATGCGCTGACAGCTCCCCTCTCCTCCCCAGGACACCAAGCTGAAAACCATAAATGGTGAGGCCCCCACAGTGGATATCTCCTTCCAGCTGCTTTCCTCTGAGGTGAGGCTGCGGGGACGGGAAGGGCAGGGCCTGGCAGCCACGTGTCAGCTCCCAGAGCCCCGCAGTGTGTTCCAACCTCCTTCACAATTGCTGGCCTCGTTCAGGGGCTGGGGCCAGGGGCTTCTGGAAGGAGGGGACTGCTGCTTTGGAGAGAAATGTCTGAGGGTGATTTGAAGCTCCAGAAAATGAGACAAAGCTGAGATTAGGAAGAGGAGAGTTGAGAGCAGAGGGCCACCCAGACCTGGGAGTCAGCCTCTAACCCAGCCCAAGCCAAGCCTGGCTCACTGGGATCAAGGTTCTACAAGGGTGAGCTAGGATTTCAGCTTCTCTTGCTACGTAACAAACTACCACAAACCTAGCAGCTTAAAACAATGCCCATTTATGGGCTCGCACTTCTGTGGGTAGGCAGTCTGACATGGCATGCCTCAAATCAAGATGTTGGCAAGGTCACACTCCTTTCTGGAGGCTCTGGGGAAGTGTGTGCTTCCAGGCTCATTTAGGTGGTCATCAGAATCCAGTTCCCCACAGTCGTGGGATCCAAGGTCCCTGTTTCCTCGTTGACTGCCAACCAAGGGGCCCCTCAGCTGCTAGAGGTCACCTACATTCCTTCTCACAATGGCCCCCTCCATCTTTCAGCCAGCAGGCATGTCAAATCCCCCCCACACTTCAAAACTCTCTGACTTTCTCCTTTGTCAGCAGCCAGAGAAAACCCTCTGCTTTTAAAGGGGCTCATGTGATTAGGAGAGGCCCACTCTGAGAATGTCCCCATCTTAAGGTCAGCCATGCCATGTAACATAATCACAGGGGTCACAGCTCATCATAGGCATGGGTCCTGGGGATTAGGGTGTGGAATCTTGGGGGCCCATTTTTGGAATCCTGCCTACCACAGCTTGGTTGATCCAAGTGGAAAGATACCACTGGCTGAGCCCTGCCTGATGGATGGGATCTCTTCCTCTAGACAACTCTCCCTGGACTCTGGGTCCCGGTTGAACCCTGGTCATTTGGCTCCAGTGCACCTGGCCAGCACCTTCTGGAATTCTTCCCCTTTTTGGTCTGTGGTGCTAAGACAGGCACAAAGCTGGGAGGTGAGCAGTTCAGGACCATGGATGCCTGGGTCAGCCCCCTCCCGCCAGCTTCCCACACCAGGAAAAGTCGCCACCAGCACTGGGGTAATACTTGGCCCTGTGACCTTACCCATGGGGAACACAGGGAATTATATGGTGTGGGGTAAGAGGCATGTATCTGGAAATATAGCCACCTGAAAATGTGTCCCTAAGGCCTCTGGTGAGTACCTGGGACCTCCCATCAGCACTTCCCCCTGTGGAATGTTCTGCATCGTCTTCTAATTCCTGATTCCTCTCTTTCCTGATGAAAGAGAGTTTGTTAGAGACAGTCTGACACCCCACCCTCAACCCCATCCCCACCACCACACCAGGTGTCGGACCAAGAAGGTACTGAGAGGGGAAGACACAGAAGCAGCAAAAGACCCCAAGAAAGAAGCAGGGTCCTTGGAGAAAATGTCACCAATTTCCCAGATGGGAGCTCACTCCTCCACGGCCTCTTCTCGGGGTCTAGAGTCTATCAGTGGCCCCTCCTGTCCCTTCCTCACCTCCCCCTGTCTTCTGTCCCTTCCCAGGGACACATGTGTCCTGAGGACCGAAAGGAGCATCAAGTGCCCCTGGTCAAGCCACTGGGGGACCCAGGCAGGCAACAGGCAGGTGGACAGGACACTTCCCGGTTGCCCAGCGGCTAGGCACAAAGGTCTCAGTGATGAATTATTCACCGGAGCTGTGCTAAGTGCAGAATTAATCCCTTTCCTTCCAGCTGGCGGCCTCACTAAATTATCCCTCCAAGTCATGCGGGAAAACGCTGCCGAATTCATTTAGCGGCTGAGTGTTTTGATCTGGGCCTTGTGATTTTAGCTTCCCCTTCCCCCCGCCCCCCTCCCCCTGGAGGCGGGGGGAAAAAAACCTTTCAGTAATGGATTTCCGAGAAGAAAGGAAAAGAAAGGGATCAAGATTGGGTGTGTACCAGGAAAATAGTACTAGAGGAAATTCAGATTCTGCAGCCAAGCATTCACCACACACACAGTTCCACACACGCACGCTCTCTCACACCATCGTGTGCGAATACCCACATTCAGACAGTCCCATATGCACAGACATGAACATGCGGGCACACATACACCCCTTTGCATGGGCACTTAATACACCATACACACACACACGCTCACACACACACATGCAGACTGACACACAGATGTTTTCACAGCCGCATTGGCATTCACAGAAGCTACATCTGTTTGTGGCCCAACTGTTCCTTGGTGACACTATCTGTGAGTTGGCCAATAACTGACTCACTTTGATTCTAGAATCCTGAACTCCAATTTTGGAGCTAATGTGGTGGGCTCGGCATAGGTTCTTGCAGCCAGGGCACCCAGCCATTCATTCTTTTATTCCACATATATGTGATGAGGACAAGAATTTTGGCCACCCTTGTGGATTTCAATGAGAAGAGGGAGGGTCCGGCAGCCATGGAGCCCATCTGCCTTGAATTCACCCTCATCGGGCTTGGACATGGCTCTCTGCTCACATCTGAGCCGTTTTGGCATCCTTCTCTCTGCGGGGTAGTGAGAGCGTGTTGAGAATTGATGAACAGGTGGATGGCCTGGCAGCTGAGTGCAGAGGGCCCATCCCCGGCTCCATCACTCTCCACCGCCATCACTGTCACACCACCCATGTCCTCTGTGCCACCGCCAACATTGGGCACCTGTTATGTAGCAGATACTGTCCCAATTTTAGGGATCTTACACGTCCTCATAAAGCTTGCGTTCTTAGAGGGCAGGGAGTGTGGACCAGACAGTGAGCTAGTCAGTTCATGAGCAGACAGCAGCTCCTGGTAAGAGGCCTGACGAAACCCAGTGAGAGCAAACACCTGACAGGTTCTGAATTCTTTCCCTCTTACGGTTCCACCTAAGACGCTGTTTGCAAGTTCATGGTGGAAGGTACCTGGCCTTCATGTCTGCATTCCAGCCTGGGGGACCAGCACCATTGCTTCTTCCATCTTTTAAATCAAACACTGCTCAAAGCTCCATGAGCCACCGCCGCCGGAAGCCTGGGATCTTAGAGTCCTGTGGACACTCTGGCTGTGGGGGAGGCTTGGGTAACGGGTCTCTCGGGGCCCCTCACCCATCTGACTAACAATTCCAACTTGAGGGCAATTCCTTCCCTGTGGTCAGATGGGCTACTGAAAGGTGATGCTTTGGGAGAAATAAATATGCATGCCCTATTTGGGTACCTCCCTCCTGAGGACACATCCTCTTTCTCCTGAGCCTCCGAGGGACAGACAGGTATCCTGGTTAATTGAGGTTTGGGTGAACACTTTCTCCCCCACCCACTGCTTCCACATCACCCATTCTCAGAGCTCTGGGAACAAGAGCATTGTGGAATTTCCGAATAGAGACCACCTCTCTCAACAGCCCACCCTGGACAGGATTGTCCTTGACAATGTCCACCACAGGTGGTCTCACTCTTGCTCTGCCATGACAGGAAGCTCACTACCACCGGACGTACCCTGTCCCGTGGCTTCGTGGCCACAACAGATAGAAATGACCACCCCACACTGAGCCCACACCCTCTCTGCACCCCCAGGCTCCTGGCTTCTCCATCTGGGGCTGCAATGCGACTTTAGCAAGCTCCCCTGCTGGTTGTGGGGACACTGGCACGTGGTCAGGCATCCAGCATGCTGGCTGGCCCACTAGCCAGCAGAGCCTGCAGTTTCTGTGAATGTGGGATGAAGTGGTCTCCTGGTTGGGGATATTGTGCTTGAAGCTGGTTCTGCTGTTGATGGGTTAAGCTTTTTCCTCTGATGGGACTTCTCTACAGGCACATGCTGCTTAGAGTGATCTGCTTGAAGCTAGAGTTGTGTGTGTAGATGAGCATGTGAATAACTACACATAGATTCACAAAAACTAAAAAAATGGACACCTGCCTATAGACAGCCAACTTCCCTTTATTGTAAATACAGTGGGGGTTGGCCTTGGGGGTCCATTCAGCTCTAAGAATCCAAAAGCCTATGGCTACTCCACATATCTATATACGAATAACCCTATCTCTCCTCCATTCTCCCTCTGATGTTGGCCTCTGCTCTTTGAAGAGTGCAATCTGGTCCCCCAGGAGTCTGTGCTTCTCCAGGCTAAGCAGTCTGCCTCTTTTAATGAACTGGTGTCAAGATCCCGCAGCATCCTGGGTGCCCTCCAGCTTGCAGGCAACTTCTTTGAAGTGAGGCCCACACTGAGCAGGTTTCCTAGGCTGACCCATGTGGATTGGAGCCCAGCGTGCACATGACAGGTGCTCACTGTGCCAGTCCCTGCCTCCTCACATGGAAACGTGCCCCCTGCAAGGTGGGAAAAGTCTATGCAGTTGTCTGGGTGTTTGGCAACAGTGTGCCTTCTCGGGCTGGGATTTGGAATCCAGAGTCTTACCCAGGCAGGGCACCAGAGCACCAGCCACTCACATGGGTGGCTGCCTCCGTCTTAGCCCACAATCCTGAGGACTTGCCCATGGGTTTCCTTGGATTTTGGCATAGGGTGGGTGCCTTTGAGGAGAGAAGGAGGTGGCACTCGCTGCTACCCCCTGAGGAAAGGGGCAGCTCCCACAGTCCTGTCTGACCCTCCCCCTTCCCTGTTCTCACAGGGAGAGGCGGGGCAGGTCTTCAATGCCATGCAAAGGGCTGCCTGGTGTTTTTATTCAAATCAGTTACAAAGCTCTCTGGAGACCAGACCAAAGTGGGGACAAGTGGCTGTTTAACAGATGTGGAGGGGAGGGCAGGGGATAGGCAGAATCATGCTGGCTTTTGATGAATTTTTATAAATTTCTTAAAAGCCACATATGAAAGCCCTGGCTGGTCTTCAGAGAAGCCCCAACACAAACCTGCCTCCATTTCCCCACCAAGCACAGCTGCTTGGAAGGCCCAGCGTTCAGGATGGCATGAGAATCTCC